GCTCCGCCCCGGGCCCGCCCCGCCCACCAGCCGGGGGCGCTCAGTCCCCCAAGGGACACCCCGGGTCCCCCCTCCCAAGCCCCGCCGCCAGCGTGCCCCCAGGCATCCCGTTATCTTGCACAGTCCGAGCACCCCACCTCTCCTCTCCCCAGCGCCCACTTTTCATGCCCCGTCTCTTTAGATCCCCCCCTTTTCCCTTTCAGAAGGCTCTTGTAGCCCCATCCCGCGTAGAGTCCCCTGACTTAGCTGCTCTGCGACCTGTGTGGTGGGCTGTGCACCCCACACCCAGACAGATCATGGGACCCCCAGACACCCCAACACCCACACTCTGCCTCCAAGCCACCTGGGGTTGTATGTGTGAGTGTGTGAGTATGTGTGTGTGTGTGTGTGTGTGTAGAGACACAGCCCTGAAGCACCCTCCTGGTTCAGCTTCCTACACCAGTCAGTACTTGGTGACACCGAGGCACAGTTTGGCATGAGAGAGACAAGGCCAAAAGGAGCCCAATTCCTGTGCTGACCCATTGTCCCCACTGCCTTCCACAGGTCACTGTGCACATCCGGGCAGCCTGGGGCAGGGAGGGTGGGCTGCTGAGGAGGGTTACCTCCATCACAGGGACAGGATTCCTTCCTGTGAACCTGTCATAGTGGTGCAGGCCTATAATCCCAGCACTCTCTGAGGCTGAGGCAGGAGGATGGGGAGCCCAGCGTCCAGTCTGGGCAGCTTAGCAATTTAGTGAGACCCTGTCTCAAGAGGAAAAAAAGGGGAGGGATGCTGAGATGCAGCTCAGTGAGAAGGCCCCGGTTCAATCCCCAATACCACAAAAACCCTTTTTGTTAGGCTGTAAATTGGGAAGGGGGCTCCCCCTACAGCAGCTCTTAATGCTAAAGAGTAACCCAAAATCTGCAGGGGTCCTCAAGAGAAAATCTTATCCAGGCCACCCTCACTCCAACTCCTCAAGGGCCTTGGCCCCTGGAGAAGCCGCAGCCTTTAATTAACAATTAGCAGTAAGAACAGCCTAGGGCCATAGCGTGAAGCCACACCCTGTCCCCAGCAGGCCTGGGCCTCCACAGTGGGCTCTGCCCAGGATACTCCAGGAGGCGGTCCCCAGCTTTCCAACTCCTACAGAGATGACACACAGCTTCCCTGGGTGCTAAGCAAACAGGGCAGGAAGACTGGCGTGGGTGGTATTTTTCTAGGTGCTGCCCCTTGGTTTCTGAGTAGCCTCCTGTCTGTCCCCAGCACGGATTCCTGCCCTCCTGTTTGTCTGATCTCTGGCTCTCCCTCTCCAAGTGCTTGCCTGCCTCTGCCTTGGCCCCTTGCCCCTCTCCCACCTTCCTTCCTGGCTCCGACCCTGTGGGGGTGGCATACTGGTGGTCACAGCGATCTGCCAGGCATACCAGGCTGGTGGCCTTTGGCCCAAGTTGTGTGCTCAGGGGGCTGGTAGTGGAAGGAAGCCACAGGGTCAGGAGATGCGGGAGGCTGATTCCTTGCTGCTCAGTGGATGGCAAGAACCAAGCTTGTTGTTGTTGGAGGGAAGCCCACCTGGCACACACCCGGCCTGGTCCCAGCCAGCACCCACGGCTCTGGGCGGCCTCCCAGGCAGAGCTGGGTGCTGGGTGCCAGGGCCCCCTGCTGGTCAGCCTGGGAGCTCAAATGCACCCAGGCCTGTGCCCGGCATTCTCCTGCCCAGTCCAGGCAGCCTCTCCACCCTCACCCTGGTCTCCTGGGGGTTGTTACTGGGATGACGCCCACCCATTCTCAGTTGGATTTGTGATTGTACCACATGTCCTTGTGGCAGGCCTGGAGTGAGGGACAGCCAGGACAGTTCTGACCTAAAAAGCCCAACTGAAGAGGATGCTAGAAAAACTCAGTAGTCAAGATAAATTGTAAGGCTATGTGTTTTGTTTTCTGTTGTTTTATGGTGCTGGGGATCAAATTCAGGGTCGCCGACATGCTCGAATGACATGCTATATCACTGAACTACACACTCAACCTTAATGCAGTGTTTAAAAAAATCAAAGTTAAGGGGGAATGATGGTGCAGGCCTATAATCCTAGCTACTCTAGCAGCTGAGCCAGGAGGACCACAAGTTGTAGGAATGCCTGGGCTATACAGTGAGTTCAAAGCCAGCCTGGACTACATAATGAGACCCTGTCTCTAAATAAATAAACAAATAAATAAATAAAATTTAAAAAAACTTTGGTGCAGATCTGTAGTCCCAGCTACTCCAGAAGCTGAGGCAGGATGATTGTATTTTAATTTTTTTCTTTTGTTTTTGAGTGTGGGTCTCACTAAATTGCTAAATTGCTCAGGCTGGGCTCAAACGTGCAATCCTGCTGCCTCAGCCTCCTACAGTGCCTGGATTATAGGCATGCACCACCATGCTCAGCACAGCCTCAGTAATTTATCAAAAAATAAAAAGAGCTAGGGATGCAGCCCATTGGTAGATGCCCCTGGATTTAATCTCGAGTGTGAGGGGGTGTTAAGGTAAAGAACCCATAATGCACACCATACTGAAAGTTCTAAATAGTAACATGTGCACACAGGATAGGTCAGGGCTCAAGCATTCTTTCCTTGCCCTCAAGGCCTGGGCCTGGTCTTCCGGTCTAATTTCTCAGGCCTCTGCCTGATACCCTCTGCTCTGGGTAGGTCTCTGACCTTGGGACCAAATGTAGGTGTTGGAAGGGCAGTCATCTAACGACACCTCCAGATTCCCTGACAACTGTCCTCTCTTGAAGAGACCGCGGGCGCGGCCTCTTCGGATGACGCAGTGCCTGAGCCCGGCAACGGTCCCTGTCGGCGTGCGCCCGCGGGGACGCGTGGGAACCTCGCGGCCCCTCCCCTTCCCTTTCTGCCCCCTCCCACCTGCGGCGGCCTGGCTGGCGCGGGCCTCCAGGCTGGGGACAGACGCTTCCGCCCCACCCCCACCCCCCCTACCCCGCCTCCTCACCTCCGGGCCCGGGCCGCGGCCGCAGCCATGGCGAGAGGGTCGGCCGCGCGCTGCCCGGGGAGGGGGGCTGCGACGGCAGGGACGCGGGCGCCTCTGCACCGGCGGGAGGAAAGGGGGGACGGGGAGGAGAAAAAGGAGGAGGGGAGGCCGGGACAGGCCCAGGGGGCGTGGCCAGCGTGTTTGGGAAGGTGGAAGCGCCCCAGGGCCCGGGTTTTGGGGCGCAGGGGCACAGAGCCTGGAGGGGGTCGGGCACGTGCCCTGGCCTTGTAGGACTCGGGAAGAAGCGAGTCGGGCTGGGGTGGGGGTGGCCCCCGGAAGGGGCCTGTGTCCCACGCTGTCTCCTCCCAGCGGAGATCCCCAGCCCGACCCGGAGCCCAGGATGGCTGCTGGGAACCGCAGACAAATGATCCTGAGGCCGGGATGCAAATGTGTCTCAGCGCCTGTGGGACAGCCTCTGCCCGGGCCCCCCATGGGGAGGGCCATAAAGGACGGAGCCAATTTTCAGATCCCCTCATCCCTCCTGGGCAGCACCCTCCCTCTTGTCCCCAGGGCCCCTTAGCAGACAGAAATGCCCTCCCCACCCTGTAGCTGAGATGTCCCCAAACTTGCTCCAAGACATTCCTCCTCCCCGCAGCCATCTGCTTCCCTCCCAGACAGATGGGCGCCATTAGTGGTCACTGAGAAACAACGTTTCCCAACCCGAGTCAGGCACTACCAACAGCTTCCAGGTCTTAAGGGCTGAGCTAGCAACGGAAGGAGTAGCAAAAGACAGGCTTGCATGGCCGGGTGTGGTGGCATATTCAGGAGGCTGAAGCAGGAGGATTGCCAATTCCAAATTCAAGGACAGCCTGGGCTACATTGTGAGACCCTGTCTCAGAAAAAAAAAAATAAATAAATACATAAAATAAAAACTTAAAAGCCCACAAAAAAAAAACAAAAAAGGCACCCTGTGGCTGAGTGCCCCCCTCCCCGCCAGCTCAGACTGTCTTGCTGGGCAGAAGTGGGTGACACAACTTTCAAAGGTACCTCAAGAATTCGCAGATATTTATTGAGCTGTCTTCACGTTCTTGCTACGTGCTGGCCTTTGGGAGCAGGTTGGCCTCCAGAGATCTGACTCTTTGAAGGCCAGTCCCAAGTCTGGAAAACAGTCTGGATTCAGATGTCCCCCTGTGATATCTGGATTCAGATATCAATTGTCCCCCTGTGAGGCATTGTCCGTCACTGGGCCTTGCTGTCCCTGTCTGCTAGAGGCTGGGTCCCTGTCGCCTGAGGCCCACGGTGGGGATGCAGGGTACCCTTCCAGGAGGGCCCTGCTCACACCCAGTTCCATGCCAGGCTGTGGCCTGTGGTGCCAGAACCAGCCCGCTCCAGAGGGGAGTGCTTTGCCACCACGGCTGCCAGGAGCACGGCCTCACTTTCGGGGGCCTCGCCTCTCCTTCCGCTCCTCAGGGTCCACTCTGGAGGTCTCCCTGGAGTCCGGCGGGTGCCGCTGGCTGAGGATGAGCAGCAGGCAGCCCAGCACTGCATCCTGCATGTCCTGTGAGCCCAGGCGTTGGGCCAGGCGGCGCAGCAGGGGCAGGAGGTGCTGGCGGGCCAGGCGGGCAGCGGGTAGCAGCAGGCGGGATAGCAGCGTGCGCAGCAACAGCGGGAGCAGCGGGGCGGGCATGGCGGCCAGACTCCTGTGAAGGCAACACTGGTTCTAGACCCAAACCCCTGCTCCTGCCTCCCCGCAATTTAACCCCTTCTGCTAACCACCCCTCCTTGTGCACACTTCCACCCTTCAGCCTGCTTCCTTCATCTTCCTCCCTTCAACCTCTCCCTCAGTCCAGCAGGAAACTTCACCTTTTCCTTGGAGGCCCTTGATCCACCCAGACCTGTACTCCCTGCCCTCCTATACCCTCACCGATCAAGGGCAGCTCTCACCCTTCAGAAGGGCTGTTCAGAGCCGTCTCTCGCTGAATTTGCCTGTAGTGGAGACAGCCTCACTGCTAGATCCAACACAGGCCAGCCCCACCCAGTGTGGCCTGCCTGGGTGGGGGAACAATGGGGACAGCTGTGTTCCGGCACCTGGCATATCCAGGCGTGGGGGCAGCTGGCTGATTGCCTTTCCTGGCTGTGTGTGAGGAGGGAACAGATGCGGAATTCCCCGGCCAGTGTAGACCTCAGAGCTGGAACCCAGACTGCGCTTTCAAACGTGGGACTTGAGGCTGGGGATTTAGCTCAGCGGCACAGCGCCTGCCCGGCAAGCGCAAGGTCATGAGTTCGATCCCCGGTACCGAGAAAAAAAATAAACAAAAACAAACATGGGACTTGAAGCATGTTGACTCAGGGCTCCGGGCCCCTCATCTGCAACCTCATTGCTGCGGGACCTGGGAGGGAGAACTGGAGAGGACAGTGTGTGACACCACATGTCCAGATCTCAAGTACGGTCAGTCTGCAGCCAGATACACACACCCCTGACACCAGGTGGGCAGCCATCCTGTCTGGGACAGGGCAATGGGGGCACCGGCCATCACTGAGCTGAGCACAGCTGACACAGCCCAGGCATTCCCACACCTGGACAAGAAGGTGTTGCCCAGCCCGGGACCCTCTTTCGTACTGGCTCCTCCAGATGGAAGTGGTTCCAGGAGGTATCCAGGTACAGTGACTTAGGACTAAACCTGGATTTTGTTTTCTTTTCCTTTTCTTTTTTTGTCTTTTTGAGACAGGTTCTCGCTATGCAGTTCAGGCTGGCCCTGAGCTCACTTTGTAGCCCAGGCTGGCCTGGAACTTGCAAGGATCCTCCTGCATCAGCGTCCCGAGTGCAGGGATTGCAGGTGTGTGCCACCACGCCCAGCTGGGGTTTTGTTTTCTAACACTTCTTTCTCCTACTTCAGATAATGCATTTTTAAAGTTTATTTGTATTAGTACCAGTTTGCAGTACATAACGATCACATTCTTTTTGGGAAGTTTGTGCCTGTGTGTAGCATCTTAGTTCTTTTCACTTACCTTTCACCTCTCCTCCCTCTTCCTTACTCCATAACTTTAGCCCCTTCCCATTTGTAAAAGATCCAGCTTCCTGTTTCCTATTATCTGTCTTTTACTTCTCTTTTTAAATTATTTATACTTTGGGTTTCTCATATAAGAAAAACCACACCTTATGTAAGCTTGTGTCTGACTTTTCCACCACTGTAGTCTCAAGGTGCCTCCATTTTCCTATACAGGAAATGGGTTTAATCCCTGTCTTGCTGGACTCCAGTGACAGAATGGAGTGCAATATCATTCAAACTTCAGAGCCTCGGGAAGGTGATCTTTTACAATCATCCACCAGCACTGCCACTGACATCGGCATCACCTCAGTTACCATCAAGGGCCTTGGAGATAGATTCTTTTGGAGTCAGAAAGCCCCATCCTCTCCCACTCCGTCCCCTCTAGGAGAGGAAGCAGGAGAGAGCTGGAGAGGTTCCAGGGACCCACAGCCTCTTGGTGGTTTCCAGAGGAGGTCAGGAGCCATGTGCTCAACCCACAGGAGCTATAGGATGCAGATGGGACGTGGGTGCCCGTCCTGAGCTCATGTCTCACTAGTCCTCCTTGGTACCCTGCAGGGAAGTAGCTATTATAACCATCCTGTAAGTGTGGAAACTGAGCCTCAGAGTGGTTAGACCTCAGACCACAGAGCAAGAAAATGGTTTGATCTCTCCCAGACCTGTCCTGTCACCAGCTTTCCTGTTTCTCAAAGTGGCAATCATGTCTTTCTTGCAAATCTTGGGAGTTATTTTGGATTCTTTCCCCCCTTTTCTACCCAAAAGCAAATCCTCATGGTTCTACTTCCAACATACCCAGAATGGAAGCCTGGCATGTGGGAGGCCCTGGGTTTAATCTCTGGCACTTATAAAGAAAATTAAGTATCTTGCTGTGCTCGGTAGTACACACCTAGAATCCCAGCACTTGGGAGGCTGAAGCAGGAGGATCTGGCCTAGTCTGTGCTCCATAGTGTTCAAGGCCTGTCTCTATCACACAGCAAGACCCCATCTCGAAAACAAAACAACACGCTGTGATTTCCCTGAAGTTCACATCAAATCATCCAGCCTCAGCTTGTAGGACTTTGAGGAAAGTGCAGCTCCTGCTCCTAGTCATTCTGAAAGAGAATTCAGGATCCAGTCCAATTTACAGGTAGATAAAACCTCAGAGATAATCTAATAATGGGTACATTACAGTTTCCTATTGAAACTTTTTTTTTTTTTTTTTTGGTCAGTACTAGAGATTAAGCTCATTACTGGAATAGTCATGTTTGTTTTCTTGGTACTTTTTTTTTAAGTGTAAAAGTATAATTAAACCTATATTTGTGATTGAATTTTGGTCTGTATTTTGAAATTGTTTCCCCTCTTTTTTTCCCAATTACATGTGTGAAGATATGTTTAGATACTGAATTTGTTTAAAAATTGAATGATTTTGTTAAAGGCACAATTAATCATACTGATTGTACTTTGTTGTTTTTTTTTTCCCACCCACCCGGTACTGGGAATTGAACTCACAACCTTGCACTGGCCAGGCAGGCGCTGTGCCACTGAGCTAAATCCCCAGCTCCTTGATTATACTTTGAAGACAGACTTTTAAACAGAATTTAAAGTAGAGGGGCTGGGGATTTAGCTCAGCGGCAAAGCGCCTGCCTGGCAAGTGCAAGGTCGTGAGTTCGGTTCCCGGTACTGGAGAAAAACCCCAAAAAAAAAAAAATCAAAGACCCAACCCAAAAAT